AAAGAAATTTCATTAATTTTAAGTCTTGGTTTAATATTTTATGATAAAGTAATTCAAATATTCCAAGTTCTGTTTATTGATATTTGGTTTAATTGCATCAGGCTTGAAAAAATAAAACACAAAGATATCCAAATTCAAATGGAAAAAGTTCTTAGTGACTATGTTTACTAATCCATGACATTAACTTTTCAACCCCACTCACAAATTATGTAAAGATTTTTGTTGAATGTGCTAGTAAATATATATTTTCCTTGTTATAAGCAATGGTTTTTATAAGCTAATAAGATATTCTATATTTATATATCAAATAGATGATTTGAAAAACAACCAAAATCCTTTATTGGAAAGATTTTAAACAGATTGGAAAATTTTGTTATCAGTTTTTTAAAAAGGGTAAGTATTTATTTTTATGGCTAAAATCATATGATGGAAGTGTTACTAAAATAACATACTCAAAATGCTCTTGCTATACAGTAAGGGTCAGCAAACCATATCCAGCCTGTTTCTATAAATAAAGTTTTATTGGAACACATTCATTTATGTGTTGTTTATGTTTGCTTTCATGATATAATGGCAGAGCAAAACTGCCATTTCTTTTGCAGTTACTGCAAAAGAAATGGCCTGCAAAGCTGAAATATTTGCTATCTGAACTTTTAGAGGAAAAAATGTGCTCAACTCTGCTCTATGGTATCAATTTTCACCAAAAAGTAGTTAACTTTCTCACTCATGTTTACCTCACAGTTAAATTGTGTTTCCTTTTTCAGAAAATATTTTCTAAGTATCATACTATTGAAAGCTACATGTCATTCCTGAAAAGGACAAATCTCAAACAGCAAATTTCAAACACTTTCTAACTCATCTTTCAGTTTGACAATATCCTGAGGTAAAAGAGGCATTTATGATGATTGTACCTTTTGTTATGAAATATTGTAAAGACTCTACTATTTAAGGAATTATAACTTATATATCTACTTAACCTGGATTAGGCAAAATTGTAACCCACGGCAACATACCACAAACAAACCAGTGATGGTGTGACTATGAACCCCTTCAAGACCTACAACCTCTACTATTTTCTCAGAATATGTCTTTTTTGTTTATAACTTATTTGATACATAAACTGAAAGCATCAATGTCAATTTATACGTTAGCAAAATTTAATTGCTTTAAAAAAATCTTTTTTTATTACAGTTATTTATTTTTTAGTAATCTCTACACTCAATGTGGGGCTCGAACTCACAACCCTGAGACCAAGAGTTGCATGCTTTTCTGAATGAGCCAGACAGGTGCCCCCAAATGTAATTAATTTTTGAAAACAAAAACAGATGAAAGAAAAAAAAAGAGAAAAGAAAAATCCTGTTCTTTCTATGTTCTACTAGATAGATCAGGGCATAGTCCCAAGAGTATACAGCTACTCTGTAGATGTCCAGTACAAGTCTCTGAAACTAAAATTTTTATATACAGTAAATGAAACATTAGAATACCTAGACTATGTCAGATTCCATAATGACTCACTCGGTTTGCTAAAATTAGCTTAGGTCACAGCAGTACATAGTGTGGCTATCTTATTCCTCATAGAACAGTAGGAATACCTTACTCAGATTAGCCATTTCCCTCTTGCAGGCAACTAGTAAAGAGAGTGATTAAACTATTACTATGAAGTAAATTTTTCCATCTTGCTCTGTCTACTAAGTTTATATAAGCTCAAGCTCCTAATCGAGAAACTTTTATAAGTATTTTCTTAAAAAAAGGGTAAAAGTTGAAATTTAACCAACCTATATAAAAATGGAACTCCAGGTTCAGCAAAAACTGACTTCGTTCACTATTCTGCCACTGAATGAAACAGGAAATACAGGGAAAGGCTATGATTTGGCCAGAAAAAAATTTTTTTGGTCTTGCTGAGTTAGAAGAGTCTATAGAGATATTAGCCTCGAAAATGAGGAGGAATCCTTTCTTAGGGAAAAGTGAAAAGAAAAATGAAGAGAGACTTGGTGATCACTTAAATATGAAAGAACCAAAAACTGCCAGAGTTTTTCTTCACATCTAATTGTTCACTAAGTCCTATGAATTTTAAAATGTCTCATACTCTGGGGCGCCTGGGTGGCTCAGTTGGTTAAGCGTCCATCCCACTCTTGCCTTCTGTTCAGGTCATGATTTTGGGGTTTGCCAGACTGAGCTATGTGCTGGCAGCATAGAGCCTGCTTGGGATTCTCTCTCTCTCTCTGTGTCTCTCTCCCCCTCCCCCCCCCCCCCCATAAATAAATAAACATTTAAAAAAATATTGTAAAAGGGGTGCCTGGGTGGCTCAGTTGAGTGTCTGACTTCAGCTCAGGTCATGATCTCGCAGTCCATGAGTTTGAGCCCCACATCAGGCTCTTGTGCTGACAGCTCAGAGCTTGGAGCCTGCTTTGGATTCTGTGCCTCCTCCTCTCTCTGCTCCTCCCCCATTCATGCTGTTTCTCTCTCTCTCTCTCTCTCTCCCTCTCTCTCAAAAATAAACATTAAAATAATAATAATAAATAAATAAAATAAAAGTAAAATAAAATGTCTTGAACTCTGCTACCTTTTTTGACTCTAATGTAGTTCGACCCTTATTTTTAACCAGATGTGTTTTCAAAATAGCCTTCTTAATGATTTATCTCCAATGTCCCTTCATCTTTCACATTTTAATTATCTTCTATAGTAATATGATCACCTCATTACTGCACACAAAAAAATTGACGTGTTCCCATTTATATCATTTGGTTGAATTTACTGGTTTTAACTAGATTTACAGACTCAGTCACATCATTCTTATTTTATAAACCCTTCATAGCTCCTTCTTCAAATAGTTTGGCTGAATTTAACACTTTTTGCTAGCTTTAACTAGTGTTTTAGTAATGAATCAGCAAGGATTTAATGGCTGTTATACATTGTACTAGGTTTATAATACTTTCCCTATTCTCACAGATCTTAAACTGATGCTATAAGATCAATAAACTGAGACACTGCTCCATCATTCAGTACTTAATTGTTCTGTGCCTATTGTGTGATTGGAAATCAAAGAAAGAAAATAACAAAAAAATTAAGAAAAGACCTCATGGGGGGGGGAGGTAGAATTTTAGCTGAAGGTAGGCAATACACAGAATGATAGTAAAGGGAGTTAGTTAATGGATATAGAGGAATCTGATGGGGGTAAAGGTGTCAGGAGAGCTATGAGAAAATCCAGGGGAGAGGGAATTGACAGGGGAATTGTAAAGATGTAGGACACTAATAATGGGGAACAATGAGATGCAACCTTGGCTAGTGAAGGTGGATTCTATTAGAGAATGTCTTGGAAGCCCCGCAGAGGCATTTAAATTTGACTTTATATATAGACACCAATTAATAAAAAGAAAGAGATGGCATAAAAGATTATTCTAGCATCCATGTTTAGGCATATGGAAGAGATAGGCAAACAGAGACATTTGGAAAGAAATTACAGGGCTTAAAGAGAGATTGCAGGTAAAGAGAAGAAACTGTCAGAGGTGAGTACAAAGTTTCTGGCCTTGGAAACTATAAAAATGGAGACATCACAAAAATAAACAGGATGTTTGTTCTCAAACAAAGAAGGTTTGAGAATGGGGAGTAGGAGACGGTTTGGGACATGTTAGATAGATGTAAGCATATCAAGTGGAGCTATCCCAAGGCTATTCTATAGCGTAATACTGGACGAAGCCAAGAATCCAGTGCAAAAATAGATAGGTATAGTGATCTATCAATGCCTTGCACCTGTTTAGGATTTCAAAGCCATATAGTATTAATTTTGAGCTTCAACATCCAGGAAGGTAGAAGAACAGAAATTAACACCTTCATTTCGCAAATAAATTAATGTTTAGAATTCATGTGACTTGCCCAAAGTCAAAGAAGTTGTTAGCAGGAGAGCCAAGAAAATTCTAGTTCCTTACTCATGCCATTATACTCCTGGCTTTTAAGAAGCAAGCAAAATTCAAGGCTCTTCTTCCAAAAAGAGCCATCAGCATGGAGGCAACAAGTGAGGCCATGAGAATGTATAATTCTTTGAGGGCAGAAGAAGAGAAGAAGAAAAGATCTCTTGCAGATAGATACAATTAATTAAAATAAGGAAGGAAGACAGCTCAGCAACAGACACCACCAAGTAGACAGGAGCACTCAAGAGGGTAGGAAAAAAATCAAAACCAGGAAAGTGCCGAGTCAGGAAAGCCAAAAATGGAGTAAGTACTCAGTGATCCTAAATGCCAAAGTTGGAAGAAGGTGATTTGGCACGGAGGTAACACATTTGACGGTCGATTTGTTTTTCTTCAAAAATGTAACTCTTGAGATATTGAGGGGGAAAATCCCTCAATGTTTACTATCAACATCTATCTGCTGCACTATTAAAGGGGGCTGCATTTTATTTTTCATACATTAAAACTTCCACTTCACAAGTTACAGTAACACAAAAAAGTGTGAAAGTTTTCAATGTTGAAAAATTATAAAGTCTAAAGAATAAGCTCAAATATATTTCAACATAACCTGATCAGTTTTTTAAATTTTTATTTGAGAGTCTTTTGATATATATAAATAACAGTTTGCTTTTTTCTGTGATCTGTTTTACTACATCAAAGTTTCAATAAAGGAAAAAAATGAGGTCTATGAAAAAGCAAAACTATAGATATCCTCCAAATAAAATTACATATGAAATAATTTACCAAGTTTTATAATAATTAATAGAAATAATATGGTAAATTTCTTGATCATATATGCAACTTCTGTCTTAAGTGGAAGCATGGAAAGAAAAGTGAACTATTTTATCCTCCTTAACATGACAAATATAACATTTTCAACTTTATAACTAAAATCAACTTTCGTTAGTGATATTTTTAAAATATGGCACTGTCTTTGCACTAATTGAGTTTAGAAAGGTCTTTGGAAATTTTACCTGTCTTAAAGTTTTAAAAAATTAGCATGACAATAGATTAAAAATTTAAAAGACACAGCTAATCAAACAACTTGCTACTGACCTTGTTCAAGTCTGAAGAGGGTCTTTTCCAGCTTTTCCATTTCGTTCAGAAGTAAAATTCTAATTTGTTTACTGTGTCCCATTTTGGCTTTTAGAAGATTTGAAATCTTTCAGAAGAATTAAAAGAACTCCAAAATCGAATGAGTTACCCCTATGAAACAAAAAGGAATTAAGATCAAGAAAATAACTATTACCTTTAATTCCTCAAGGCTGACAGCCGCACTTACATGTTCTAAATGTGTTTTAACCTTAGCAAAGCAAAAAGAAAGAATGAATCCTATAAAGAAGACCTGAGAAGGTAAATAGTTGTTTCCTCCCTTAGAGCACAATAGGACCAAAGCAAAACTATTGTATTATAGATTCTTACAATTAAAAAAAAAAAAAACTGAATTATTCTCAGAGAAAAGCAATACGTTTTGGAAAGCCTGGATTTGGGTGGGGGGGAAAATTCCCGGTCCCAAGCCAAAGGGCTCTGAAGACTACAAACGGCACTTCTGCTTACAAGAGATTAGTCTGCTCAAAGATAACAGGTGGGAGAGCTCCCCATTCCCAAATTCGGGTTGGAAGCCACCAATGGGGAGATGAGAACAGAGGGAAGCAGTTGTTGCCCCTGGAATAGCTGCTGCAGACATAGGATGTACAGACGGAGCTATAGATAGAAAGAACCCATTTCCCTGAGAGACCAGCGGCATTCCTAGCACTTACGCGGAGCAAGTTATACGTGCAGCTTCTGGGACACTGCAGGACCCGCGACTCTGGTGTTGGAGTCGGGGGAGGAGACGGGAAGGAAAGCAAACGGGGAAAGGCAGGCTGCCCAGGCGCAAAAAGCAGCCCCAGACAAGGAGGGCCGGGCGCCGTGAAGGGCAAAGGGCGGGGCGGCGGCAGCCGGGCCAGGGATAAAGCCGCTGTGTGAATGGCAGAGTACTTCTCCGTGACTCCGCCTCGCGCTGGTCCCGGAGAAGACCCTCGACCCACCGGGCCTCAAGTTCCCCACACGCCCGGGTGGGAGCTGACAGGTCCCCTCGCCCACTTCCGGGAGGTTCCGCACCCTGCTCGCCGCGACCGCTAGTCTCGCGAGACTGCGGTCAGCGGGGCCGGGGTCCGGGAGGCGGCTGGGGCCCAGGCAGCGAGCTGCTTTTGGTTTTCGGCGCTAGAGAGGTGCGAGGTCCGGAGTGCGCACTTCCTTTACCAGCCTGCGACCTCGTGGTTGAACATTAAAATGCTACGATAGAAGGCTGCCAGCTAGATTGAGCTGCGTATGTCACAGGGTCGTTTTGTGGACCGGCTGAATGGTGGGAGGCGAGAGACCTGGCTTCCTGTGCTTTTTCTACCACGATGTGTTTTGTGTCTTTGTTTTGATTTTTTTTTTTTTTAATTTTGACGTGGCCCAAGTTTACTTGGCCTAAACTCTCTGAATCTTGATTTCCCCGTATCTAAAGTAAGGGGCCGTCTACAATCTCAGACATTCCATCCTTCGTGTGTCTACCATCTCTAGTGCTAACACAGGGCACATCTTGAATGCAGACACGGAACTACTAGGTAGGTGAAATGTGGCCAGTTTGCAAACAATTGAGGGTGCAAATACCGCTTGTACAACGTCTGGTTGTATCTGATGTACACTGCATAGACCTGAAGAGCATATGCGATTAAGGATCTATATTGGCTGCACATATTTCAGGCCAGAAATTTAGGATCTGGTACAGATGTCTAAGGAGATTTTATGCCTGAGGAAAAGAAACCCCTTCTAGAGTTTTTTGAGGACACCTAGGGATCATGAGAAAAAAGACATGAGTGCAGAGAAAGATCTTGGTTTCTTTATTGTGGAAATAATGTAGATCCAAAAACAATGGTTAAAAACTAAGGATACTGAAATGTTTGTTTCAGTAGATTTCTGAGAATGGCTAGTTGCAAGTGGTCCAAAACTGAGTTTGAGTATCTGTAGTTCATTTATTCATTCAACTAGTATTTATTGAGCACCTAGGATTTGCCAGGCATGGAAGTGAATCAAAGTCACTGCCCTCATGGAACTCTTACATTTTGTTGGTGGGAGGCAGATAAATAAAAAGATAAATAAATTATATAAGATAACAAAAGGTTGTAGGAAGTGGGAAGCATAGAAGAGTCAGGAAAAGGAAGTTTGCAATTGTAAATACAATAATCAGTAAAGGACTTGCTGGTGAGTTGACATCTGATCTCAATCAGAGAAAGAGCAAAGAGGATATCCAGGGTAGAGGGTTACATACGGAGGTATAGAAAGTTCAAAGGCCATGAGGTAGGAGCACCCTTGTGGATTTAAGGAGGCCACCATAGCTGAATGAAGAGAGTGGTAAGAGATTAGGACAGATAAAGGCGGGGGGGGGGGGGGGGGGCTGACAGCCAGATCTTGTAAGGCTTTGTAGGCCATTGCAAGGATTTGGGCTTTTAATATGGGCAAAAGAGACGTTGGAGCATTTTGAAAAGAGGAGTGACCTCATCTGATAGACCTTTTAAAGAATTACCCTGCAACTTTATGGAAAATAGCTAAATAAACTGGAGGGTGTGGTGAGGAAGGAAGCGAGACCAGTTAAGCAGTTATTTCAATTAACCAAGATACAATGATGTTGGGGGTGTGTGTGTGTGTGTGTGTGTGTGTGTGTGTGTGTGTGTGTGTGTAAAGAAGGTATAGCAATGAAGGTGGTGAGAAGTTGTTGAATTATGGATCTATTTTGAAAGTAGAGCTTATACTGATGATGAGAAAGTAGTGTTCTTCAATTTGTAAGTCACATTGAGGATTATCATACCCATTGAGGGTTATAAAAGTAATTTAGTTGCAACCAACAATTTTTTTAATGTTTATTTTTTTTGAGGGTGGGGAGAGAGAGAGAAAGAGAGAGAGAATGCGAGCAGGGGAGGGGCAGCAAGAAAGGGAGACACAGAATCCAAAGAAGGCTGGGCCTCAGCACAGAGCCCGACCGACACTTGGCTCTAATCCAGGAACTGTGAGATCACGACCTGAGCTCAAGTCGGATGCTTAACCAACTGAGCCACCCAGGCGCCCTGCAACCAACAATTTTTAAAGTAAAATAGGAATGATTTGAGTGCATTGCATCTGGTAAGACTATTATTTCAAGAAACTTCTGTTTCTGTTACTTATGTTTTGTTGTAGTGAGTCCTGTATTCCTACTGGGAGTCATGGTCAAAAACATGTCTGAGAGCCACCAATCTCAAAAATTATGCTGTGTAAAAGCATAACCATTCATGATTATGAAATGTGCCTGTGTTTTAATCCCAGCTCTGCCACTAACTGGCTGTTCAGCTTTCTAAGGTACTTAACCTTGGCCGCCTGGATGGTTAAAGTCAGTTAAGCATCTGACTTTGGCTCAGGTCATGATCTTGAAGTTCGTGAGTTTGAGCCCCACATCCGACTCTTTGCTGTCAGTGCAGAGCCCCCACTTCAGATTCTCTGTCCTTCTCTCTGCCCCCCGCTTGCGTGCTTTCTCTCCCCCCGCCTCAAAAAATAAATAAACATTAAAAACAAATGGAATGAATGAAATATGGCCCTTTGTAGCAACATGGATGGAACTGGAGAATGTTATGCTAAGTGAAATAAGCCATACAGAGAAAGACAGATACCATATGTTTTCAATCTTATGTGGATCCTGAGAAACTTAACAGAAACCCATGGGGGAGGGGAAGGAAAAAAAAAAAAAAAGGAGGTTAGAGTGGGAGAGAGCCAAAGCATAAGAGACTCTTAAAGACTGAGAACAAACTGAGGGTTGATGGGGGGTGGGAGGGAGGGGAGGGTGGGTGATGGGTATTGAGGAGGGCACCTTTTGGGATGAGCACTGGGTGTTGTATGGAAACCAATTTGACAATAAACTTCATATATTGAAAAAAAAAACAAATGGAATATACTCAACCTTTTTGTGCTTTGGTTTTTACAACTGTAAAACAGGGATAAAAATAGTGCCTACTATTAATTAAATGAGGACTTAGAACTGTGCCTGAGACATGTGTAAGTACAAATACTAGGATGGGACCCTGACTGATGTGGAATACAGTTCATGTTTATGTTTGTCTTCAGGGTCTCCTTTCCGTACCCCCTTTGAGTCTCTCCTATGACCATCTCATCACACTGCTCTCCTGTTGATCACTCTTCTCCAGGGCTCCAAAATTAGCTTTCCCTGTTCTCCCTCCACCAGCAAAACTGTCACTTTAGGGCCCAATATTCCAGCTAAAATAAGGAGTAAAATAGACTGACAAAATGAATTCCTTTAGTGGTGAGTTATTCTTACACAAATGCTTGCATTTTAAAAGATTTGTCAATCCAAATGATTTTAATTTTGGAGATTTCATACTGTGAAAGAAAGTGAAGAAGGTCAAGTAATGGAAAAATTATGATTCAGTGTGATGTGTCTCAGAGATTACGTTTACAAGCCACACAGCGTCCTTTTTAAAAAAGAAGAGTCACGCTAAGTGTGCTATTTGTGAAGTTCTTGGAATGCCAGTGAATCTGCAGTCTAGAGCTACAGTGGTACCATGTGCTGCCTTCATTTTGGCAAACATTTGTCATGTGCCTGTCGTGTGCATAACAGAGATCTATATATACACAATAGTCTCATGCTAGAGTTGTCAGGAGAAGAATCTCCTTGAGGAACATCTGATGGATAATCTCAGCTATTTGGCAGTGACTCTACTGTTTTCTAAAACATTGATATGAATGTATCTGGGGAGTGGGAGAAGGGCTGTGGTCAGAAGGGTCAGAAAACACTAGAGTGTTTCTTAAGGTAGGTCTGTGTATGGGAGTGTCTGTTTTGGGAAAGGAAAGGAGTTATTTAGGGTATTATGTATAGTCTGGTCCCAGTCCTGTAAGATTCTGGGTCTGAAGTGGAGGGATCTGCCTTATTTGGCTTTTATATTCATCAGCATTTTTTGTGTATCTTAATTTTGTAGTGATTATATACTGACATTATGAATAATTTTATTTTGTAAAATTTGGAATTGTGTTTTCAAAATCTCTTCTAAGTAGAACAGTTTATTCTGCATTTTTGGGAAATATCCAGACTTAGCCAGGGAAGAGAAGGAAAGATAGGAAGGAAATAGAGCTGAAGTCAGACAAGAAGAAGGACCTAATATAATGGTGATAGAGATACAGAAACCAGAGAGAGATTTTTCAAAAAAGGATAGTACAACACAAAGAAAACGCATTTTGGAAACAAACTCGGGATTAGTTTTAATCTCTCTGAATTACAGTTGATTCATCTGTAAATTGGAGAGAATAACGCTTCATTTGGAGGGTGGTTTTGAAGATTAAATGAAATAATGAAAGCATTCAAGGCATCTATTATATAGCCCTTGGTAAAAATCAGGCTTTTAGTAAATGATAGCCTAAAAAGAGAAGGGCTGATGGCCAGTTGTCTTTGCTGGGTTCTGATGGCAGTTAGACAAAGCAGATGAAGAGGAAGTCTCCCAGAGCCTGGCCAACAAAAAGAATCTAAAGGTCTGTTATCTTACTCTGTGAAGAGGGAGTATAAAGGTGAACTCAGTAAAGGAAGTCAGAGCCCAAGGTTTTAGCCTAAATCATAGAGAACAGAGGAAGGACGTAAGAAAGAAGTAAGGTTTTGTTGCTGTACAATTAATATTTATTAGAACAATTATTGATATGTACATGTAATGGAGGTAAAGATAGTTGTATTTTATTTAAAAAAAAACAAAAAAACAAAAACAAAAGCCAAAACTTGCGTGGGAAAAGTCATTAAAAAAGTCCTAAGCATTGATATAACAAATTGACCAAAAAGAGCATATGGAATGCTTTGAAACCATGATAAGAGGAAACTCGAGAGGGTTTTTTAAAATGTTTAAAAAGATAGGTATTTTAAAATGTTCTTTGGCCCTAAATTTAGAGCTAAATCATTTTTACCCTTGCAAATAAATTTAAATTCCTGTTGAAATCCTGCCTCCAGAATTTCCCTGTGGAAGGATGGAGTTGGCAGCCTGGTTGGGGAACAAGGATGAGGGAAGGAAGACTTGAACTGATTTTCTATATTTGTCAGGACCACTTCAGCTGCATATGACAGAAAACAACAACAACAACAACAACAACAACAAGGCAACAGTGGCTTAAACAAGAGATAAATTTGTTTCTTTCTTGCATAAAAGTTTAGAGGTGAGCAATTCAAAGCTGGTGTGGCAGGTCTGTAAAGGCAGTCGGAAGCCAGGATCTCTCTAGCTCACAGCTTCCTCCCTCTTATTATGTGGATCTTATCATAGTACCACAAGGCTGCCAGAACTCCAGCTATCATATCCAAGTTCAGGCAATATAATGGAAGAAGAGGAAAAGAAGGGTATACCTCTTCCCTTTAAGCTTTCCTGGAAATACCAGACAGCATTTCCGCTTCTATGTCATTAGCCAAAACTTGGTCACAAGGTACACACAAATGGAACTTGTGTCTGGGCAACAATGAGACTAGCCAAAACACAGGTTTTGTTATTAAGGAAAGAGAATGAATAACTAGTAGTGTCTGCCACAGTTTGCGTGGCACTTTATTTTCCATTTTAAT